AGGAGGGTTCCCACAGACAGAACCCTCTCCTCCCAGTTTTGGTTGCAGTTCTCAAATTGGCTTGACACGCTACACTGGTGAAACTTGGCAGGTAAAGGCTTCTTTTAAAGTCATTGGAAGCTCAGTTGCCATCTTTGTTTCCTCCCATAGAGATACTGATTTAATTCAGGTCTCAGAAACATTACGGGTTTTTTCTGCCCATCATCGTTTGGGATTTGTTGTAGATGTTTTCCAGGGAGGGGGAGTGGTGGTTAGGTTTTGCTGTCCTACTTGCTCTGTGTTTTTTTATGGGGAGAGTCAAAGAGATTAAAAATTATATTATTGCTGTTATTTCCCCAGAATTCTCCTTTGTTTGTTTTAAAATCTCTACTGAAGATTGAGATATATTTTCTTTTATTCCTGATATTTATTTTTGAACTCTGTCCCTTTTTTTAAAATAATCTTGCAGGAATTGTTGATGGTTTCTGTCTTTCTAGCTTTATTAATCCTCTCTATTGTACCTTTGTGTTCTATTTCATTTTTAAAAATATTTGCCCTATTGTTGTAATTTCCTTCTTTATGCTTTCCTTGGTTTTCTATTATTTTTAAATTTAAGTCGTTGATTTCAATGTTTAGCTCATTTATTTTCAGTTGTTCTTCCTTTAACACAAACATTTAAAGCTATAATTGTGGCCGGCCCGGTGGCGCACTGCTACAGTACACCGCTTGGAAGTGCAGCGGCGCTCCCGCCGAGGGTTCGGATCCCACATACAGACCGGTTCCCGCTCACTGGCTGAGCGAGGTGTGGGCGCAGCACCGAGGGTTGCGATCCCGTTGCTGGTCCCGGTCCGGTACGGGCGCAACACTGAGGGTTGCGATCCGTTGCTGGACACGAAAAAAGACAAAAAAATAAAAATAAAAAAAATAAAGCTATAATTGTTCCTGTAAGTATTACACCTTTAGCTTTATTTCACAAGTTTTGATATTTTTCCCATTATTTAGTCGTAAAATACTTTCTAATATTCATTGTAATTCTTCTTTGCTCCTTCAGTTACATAGAAGTATGGCTTTAAATTTTAGTGCATATGAGATTTTACTGGGTTTCTTTTTGTTGCTGATTTCTGATTGAACTCCCTGGTGGTTGAAGAAAATGATCTATATGATATGATTCTTTGGGATTTTTGAGATTTATGTGTAGGCACTTGTTGTAAATGGCCAGTGGGTGCTTGAAAAGGAAATGTGAATACACATTCATATAACAAGTAAAAGCAAATTATAGAGCTACTTATTCTTTATCTGCTTGATATATGAATTCCTGAGCATTTATAATATCTTCTTATAGTAATAACTAACTCTTATTGGTACTTACTATAGTCTAAGCACTAAGGGCCTTCCATGTATTACTTACTGTGTATTGGTAATTGTTTTCCTTATAGACTGTTACTTGTACTTTATGTATTTTGAGACTGGAAATATTTGTTACTAGATACAGAGCACCTGGTGTTTGGAGTCTTATCATTGCATATTGACTTTCTTTATCTCTAATAATATGTTTAAAATTCTGTTTTTTCCTGATACTTATATAGGCACACAGGCTTTTTTCTAGTTAATATTAGCGTCACATATTCTTTTCACCACCTTTATATGTCCTTTTGTTTGAAGTGTGTCTTATAAACAGCCTGTGGGTGGATTTGATCTTTGTCCAGTTTTAGTTAAGAATGGTAGTAGGTGTAGTGGTTAAAAGCCGAACGTTAGGGCCAGATTACTTGGATTTGGTTTGTTGTCTGCGGTGTAGCTATCTGGCAGCTGGAGTTCTGTGCTTAGGGGCAGAAGGCATCCTGACTTTGCTTTATTTAGACTTTTATTTCTCCCCGTGTTTTATGCCCCATACCTCACTTCTGTTCTCCTCCGGGTGAGGTACCTGGTGTATCCAAGTTCTCATTCTGTATAAGATTCTGTTCGTATTTCAGTACCACCTGCCATATGCACTTTATGGTGTGTTTCCTTAGTTTCTGCTATTCCATCTACTTTTTTTGTCTTGAAAATGTATTGAAGTATCTCTAAAGTAGGCATAAGATTACTGCTTATGTTACTGAACTATTTCAAGTTCAGTGTGAGTTAACAGACGTAAGGAACTTTGACCAGTGCCTGGTTCATCAAAAGTGCTTAGGAAACGTTGCTCTGTTTTATCACTGACGTTAGTATTATAGTTTGATTTTTAGTGCTCTTGGCCACCTTGAAACTATCCTCAGTCCTGTTTGCTATTTGCCACTATTAATTTTATTATCAGATTTATTATTTTTGTTTTATAATTCAGGTTTTCTTATTTCTGCTTTTTTGTTACTCAGATGATTTAGAGGAGCCAACTTTTAAGCATCTCAATTCAGCATGTCTGAAGTAGTGATTGAATTTAATTGACTTTTGAAATCAGCTCCCAGAAGGCATATATTCATAATTAAACTATATGATAATTTAAGACGTAAAATTTTTATATTTGAAGGGTATAGAATACTTTCAGCTGTTTGATGGACAGGATTTTGATTTCATATGAAGAGATTGATGTCTGTATGAAATGAAGTTTTTTAATCTAAATAGGAATCTCTATATTTTAATTAAATTTATGTTAAAAACAATATTAATGGTAGTGGTGGTTGCACAACAGTGTGAATGTACTTAATGCCACTGAACTGTATGTTTGAAAATGGTTAAAATGGTAAATTTTATGTTATATATATTTTACCACATTTAATAAAAGAACATTAGTTATTATGTAAATGTATTTCATTCATGGTGAAGGAGGGTGTTCCTCAGTGTGAAAATCTGTATCTTAAGGGACCATACACATGGAGCGAGAAGAATATATTGGTGTCGATATGTTGATCTACGTTTTCTTTCTTCAACTGTATTTGGGTCTCACTCATTTCCTAACGGGAATTAATTTTTTTAACAGGAAGGAAAAGCTGATGCGATGCTCTCAATGCCGAGTTGCTAAATACTGTAGTGCTAAGTGTCAGGTAAGACTGTGCAGCTCCATATGAGTGAAACCTTCCTGTTCTCTACTCTTAAATGTGTCCTCCATTATACCTGTTGGCCTGTTTCTGTTTCTTTACAATCTTTGACTTATTTTTACTTGTTATTTTTCCTTCAATTTTAAAATTAATATATGTATGTGGTGAAAAATTGTGTGTGTGTGTGGTGTGTATGTCTACTATACGAAAATAAATGTCTACACCTCTCCATCTTTTGACCCCTGACCTCAATCCCATTTCTCAGAGAAAACTTCTGTGTCTTACAGCATTTTCCTGTGCAAAACACATTTCTATATTTGTTTAAGAAAACACATGCAGGTTACTCTGGCACAGATTCTTGTATACCTTATTTTGTTTTTCATTTAATAATCTATTTAAATGAATATTTTGGATTATCCCATGTATTCCATTAAATAAATGCAGCATAATTATATCTTCCCCATTAATGAATGCTTAAATTTTCCCCAATATTTAATATTGCTTATAATGCACCCAGCATCCTTTCTTTTGCACACTTCTACAAATTAATTGTGGGATAAATTCTTCCTAGTCATATTGATTAGTGAATATATATGTGCATTTTGAATTTTTTAAGATAATGAAAAATTGTCTTCTAAGAGTTTGAGTTGATTGAAAATGAATACTGTTGTTAATATCTTTGAAATTCTTTAAAGAAAGTATATTTAACATTCTACATGGCCTTTCTTCTAACCTTATAATCATTTAATAAGGAGTGTAATTATGCCCTAATGAATTACATTGTATTAAAAAGTCTAGTTGGAGTTTTGTGTCTGTCACTTGCCCCTACCTTCCACCTATCCTTTTGGTTTCTTATTTTGTGTGTGTGTGTGTGTGTGTGTGTGTGTGTACACGTGCACATACACACGGAGTTCCTTCTTTTAAATCTAGGCCTTGCTTATCTGAGGGATTTTCTGCTATCTCACTTTCTCCTTTGAAAGCAATTTCTTCAGAATACAAATAAAGTAGTCTTAATGGAAAATAAATTGAATATACAAAAATATCAGGGGTTCTAAGTTCTAATGCTAATCATGCCATTTGCTAATTAAGTTATCTCAGGAGAAACACAAATTCTCTGAGCCTCAGTTTCCAAATCTGTACTATAAATAAGAGCTAATATTTATTAGACATGTACCATGTGCCAGACACTATTTTATTCATGCATTTAATTTTACCAGAGTCTTGTGAGAATTAAGTACTATTACTGTGCTCAAAGAGGCAGGCAACCTGCCAAATATCCTATAACTAGTAGGCTCTGGAGTTTGGGAAATGAACCCAGGTAGTCAAAGTCCAGACTTTTAACTTCTCTTCTAAACCTAAATTTCATTTTTGCTGTAACATACTGATTAGGTCTGGTTTTCCATTATCTACTGTATCTGTATTTTATTTTATTTTATTTTATTTTATTTTATTTTATTTTTTATATGAATGCACTCTATCCCTAAGAAACACAAAACAAAAATTAAAAAAATAGGTTAGTAGTAATACTTTCCTAATAGAAATAGGATATGGTATGTTATAAAAATAACTGAATTATCTTAATCACATTTTGTTAAACAAAAATTCTGTCAGAAAGATCTGATTTATGTAAGATCATCAGCAACAACAATAACAAAAAGCAAAAAGTTTAACAAACCTGTGGGGAAGATAGAATAATTTAGCGAGGCTCCCTCGGTATTTCTTATAAACAAGTTGTGTGGGTGGAGTTAATGTGCATGTGCACTAATGTATCTTTCTAGTTAATGGCTATTGTGTGTTCTGCAATTTGTGGAGCAGGCTGGCGGCAGAGAGCTCAGGTCTAACAGTAGAGCTGGCAGCTGCTCAGGTTTCAGTTTTTCTTTGTACCTTGCCGGTAGCAATTGAGTTTCTGAGTTTCTCCTTTGTACTGCATAGCTCCTAGATGTGTGTGTGCTGAAGAAAGACTATTCCTTTTCAACCAAGGCTCCAAGGACCTTTTTGCCGGTTACCTAGTTCATAGACCTGCATGTGAAGGGTTTGTGAACGGGCTTGAGGGGTCTGTGAGCTCCAGACCCCAGCTCTAGCTCTACACTTGGCGTCGTCGGCAGGATTACGCTACAAAACCCATGCTTTTTCAATAGGTTAAATTCTAGAAAGGCTGTTTTATGATGATATTTTAGTTGTTTTATTAATCTGAAACTGAGCTACATGTTTCTGGGATTAAGCAGAACACATACAAAATTGACAAATTATCAAATTATTTGACACAAATCTTATTTGGACTTCCTTTCTAATCTCAGTGACCTAAACATTTCCTTTTTTCCTTCCTTGTTTTTATGAATATTTCTTTCCCTAATGCCACATCCTCCTTTTGCAGTGCACTCAAGGGACAAAGAAAAAGCCATTATCTGATTAGAGTGAGTGAAGGGAGTTTGGTGGGTGGACATGTCATTTTGATTTATCATAGTGCACATATTTTCGCTACATATATTAACTGTTTACTGTAGCATCAATAATAATGTTGTCATCAGATATACTGTGCAAGGTAATGGAAAAATAGCTAGTAATATTTAAGATATACCAGCTAGAGTATGTATATGTGTGTGTAGGGATGGATTATTATGTGTGTAGAGGTGGGAGTCAAAAATTGGCCAAAACATAAGCATTTAAACTGCTTTGTTTATCTCAACCTTAAGATACAGTGTTAAACATTGTAATTATTGTGGATCCTTAGAAAGCAGTGCAAAATTAAACTGATAAACTGATCTCTGAACAGTAATGAACAGGAAGCAAAAGCACTTGGAATGGAAATTGTTATAGAAGATGTGAATTTGTAACATAAAATCTTTAATAGTATGCCATGGGGGACATACCTGGTTCCACTGATCTCTGAACAGTAATGAACAGGAAGCAAAAGCACTTGGAATGGAAATTGTTATAGAATATGTGAATTTGTAACATAAAATCTTTAATAGTATGCCATGGGGGACATACCTGGTTCCCTGGCTTACATATGCTGTGTGGGGCCAAGGCATCGAGTAGTCTGAGAGCAGCTATTGGGGTATTTTTTAGGGTGTCATGTGTCCCTTGTGCCTATAGGATGGTATCAGTGCCAACAGTATTCACATTTCATTTTTACACATAAGCAATACAAGGATGCATTTTCATTATAAAAATTAATACCGTATAGAATCATAAAGAGCAAAAAGTGAAAGTCTTTCCCCAGCCCCCTTCATCCACTCCTACTTCTGTTTTCCAGAGGTTATCCCTGTGTCTATTTTGTGAGTGGAAAGCATACACCAAACTGGTTAGTCTGTGCTTCATATATAGTGTACACATCTGCTTATATATTTTTATACGGCTACATATATACGTGCTGTTTCTGATTCTGACCAAAATATTTCGTCATCAGTGGCTTTGTATTCCTGTCTGTACCTTATTGTGAGATGTGTGTCATATAATTTAATAGAAGGGAATGTGGCAACCAGTCATTTCTGTGCTGGCATAATCAGAACATCACAGATGGTTATAAGATTAAAGAGGAGGTGCAAGCTACGTTTTCTTATATAAGAGCATTCTCAAAATAAAAAATGGCAGTAGCACTGGTAGCAAGTCAACCAATTTGAAGCATATTAACCAAGTATTATTTCATCTCTTCTGTAGTCAATTTGGTTTATGATATGTACATTTTAAATTGAACTAATTGCTGAGGAAAATAAGCAACTAGTTACTGCACCAAATTGCAGTTTATATAATTTTAAAAAGTACTGTATTTGTAGAGAGGCTATATTTTATGTTGATAATTATAGTCCTGTTTAAAAATGTGAATCATATTTTTGGGTTTTCATTTTATGCTCAGTTGTAGAAGATTTGATTTATTTTTGATGGGTAGAAAATTATTCCCTCATTAGTAAGAACTAAACAGGGTGATTTAATAAGTTGATTTGTGGAATACCATGAAGGAAGCCAAGTCCTTTGTTTATTTAATAAATAGCTTTGTGCCAGGCCTCACACTGATAGGATCTGCACTAGGAATACTGTATAAAGTTTGAAACTATTTGATCACAATTAAGTTTTTGACCTCCACAAATGTCTTGGGCCTGAGCTTTCTTTTCTCACTTTACATTCTCCTGCTGAGTGATCTCATCTACCCCCATGACTTCAAGCAGCATATGTATATCCAGCATCCTCAAGACTCCATCTCCAGATTCCTTCCTCCTGAGAACCAGACTCCCACTTGGCTGTTGCACAGGTGTCTCCAATGCCACAAATCTAAATCTGAGTGTATTCTCTTCACCCCAAACCTGTTTCCGTTCACATATTTCAGCCTCAGTGTGTAATTTCACCAATCACCCAGCAGTCCGAGTTGCCAGGGTGTCACCTCTGATTCTCATCCTTTCTTGGCCCCATATCCAGTTACCATGTTCTGCTGATTTTACTACCTAAAGATCTGAATTGGCTCACTTATTTCCAGCTTCTCTCCTACTACTCTTATGCATGTTATCATGATCTCTTTCCTAGATTAGCTGCATTTTTTGTTACGTCTCTTTCCAGCTTCTAATCTGTTTTCTATACCAGAGCCAGAATGATTATTATGTACTAAGTTCTGGGGTTTGGGGTGGTGGGTAGTTCGCAGTGAACAAATAAACGAGGTCCTGGTTTTCATAAAGCTTTTATTATGGAGTGGAGAAACAGACAACATATAACACAAATGCCTGTGATTATATGTTTGCATGTGATTGGGGTAAGCATGAACTCACCTTTGAATAGGTGGTTACAGAATGGCTTCTTGTGGAGGTGACATTTGGCCTGAGACCTGGAATTAATATAGCTACTCCTGCTTTCTTTTGATCAGTGTTAGCGTGGTATATCTTTCTCCATCCATTTACATTTTAATCTATATGTGTCTTTTTATTTAAAGTTGGGATTCTTGTTGAAAACGTATCGTTGGGTTTTGTTTCTTGATCTACTCTGATAATCTGTCTTTTAATTGGTGCATTTCGATAATT